TGAACGGTTTACCACATTTTTACCTAAATTGGGGTTCAAGAACACCTACTCGGATTCTTCCTTGTTTGTGAAACCTGTGGGATCTAATATTGTCATTCTTCTACTCTATGTGGATGACATTATCAACACAAGCAGTGCATATCAGGCCATTCAACAAGTGATTTCTGATTTGACTTCTGAGTTTGATATCAAGGACTTAGGTCCTTTCCATTTCTTTCTTTGTATTTAAATCACTGCAACTTCCACTGGTTTGTTCTTGTCCCAGCACAAGTATGTTACTGATTTATTGCAGAAAATAGAAATGTTTGAGTCCAAATCCTGTGACACACCTTGCTTGCCTTATAATCACTTACTGAAGGATGATGGAGAACCATATTCAAATCCTGGTTTATATAGGAGTGTTGTAGGTGCTTTACAGTATCTCACATTCACTAGACTTGATATTGCATTCTCTGTGCATCAAGTATGTCAATTTATGCAACATCTCATGGTTTCTCACTGAACTGCTGTTAAAAGAATCATGCGTTATTTGAAAGGAACTAAAGAGTGTGGTGTTACCTATTCTCGAGGAGACTTGACCCTCAAGGCTTTTAGTGATGCTGATTGGGCAGGTGACCCTAATAACATGAGGTCCACTACTGGTTTAGTGGTGTTTTTAAGCAGCAATCCTATATCATGGTCTTCTAAAAAGCAACAAATAGTCTCATGCTCTTCTACCGAGGCTGTATATTGGGCCCTCTCTACAACTGCAGTTGAACTTGATTGGATCCAACATATTATGAGTTTTCTGCAAATCACAATATCATCACCACCTGTGTTATTTTGTGACAATCTCTCTGCAATAGCATTGTCCTTCAATCCTGTACACCATCAACATACTAAACACATCGAGATTGATGTACATTTTGTTCGCGAAAGAGTGGCTTCAAACAAACTTCAAGTGCAGTTTGTGTCTTCCAAGGAGCAGTTTGCCGATATCTTGACTAAGGGACTTAGTGCACATTTGTTCACACTTCATTGCCACAATCTCATGCTTGGGCCATCAAAGCATGAGTTTGTGGGGGGGATGATAGAGATAATGCACTTGAGATGTTGACACTTGTCTAAATCCTATATAAGCAGTTATTGTAGTAGAATCTTGTGAGTTGTATAAATACCTCATTCATGTAATAACTTAGAAGTTAAGTCTACAATATATGAATCTCTCTCTCCCTCTATCTCTATCTCTAAATTCTCTCTGTAATATTGTTCTTACAAGTTCATAATATATACATTAACAATAAGAATGTGGCTTTTTCAATCAGCAGATCCCTAAGCCTGTCAACAACAAAGGATATCACAAACTGTGCCATGCTTCGTGCTTGCTAGCTACTTCCTGATCCTCAAAATTACAGCAAAACAAAGGTTGATTTTACACACACAAGAAAAGAAGAAGAAAAAAAAAATCTTCCCTTCTTTCTTTCTTCGTTTCTTTCTTTGTGATTTGTATAACCAACTGGCAATTATTTTGATATTTTCCACCATCTAAGTCTCATTCAGTGGAGAAAGAAGAAAAAAAAAATTGAAAACAAGACCAAGTCCCTTTCAGTAGGTAATTGTTGGGAAGATTCATAGCTAAATTATATATCTCGAGTTTATATCCGCTTGTGTCTGTCTATACAGCAGGGAGTTTCTCTTCGCTTGTTGGGAAAGTGGTGAATGGTCTAATCTGGCGTGCGTGACTGGAAATATTTTGACGTGAATAGGGGTGACACGCCCCGATCCCGATTTTCTCCGAATACAAGGATAGGCACATGCTGGCCGACACCCGAGGGTGACAAAAGCCATTTATTGAGTGCAAAAGCTGAAAACAATGGATAGATAAGACCTATAAACATAAAAGCATAAAGAATATGTATTTAAGGAACGTGTTCAGATCATATAACTAACTAGAACACTAAAAGAAATAATACAAAATTGAATGAAACAAAGGATGGATCTTACGTTGAGAGGACTCAAAGATGCCGATGTGGAAGTGCCTGGATGCTGGGATTGTATGCCTCGATTCTAAGTCCTGAAGGGGGCGCAAAACAAACATGAGTGGACCAAGTTGATATATATATATATATATATAATAGTTATCAACGTACTAACCCCCAGGTTTTATGAAAACACACATATCATGATAAACATAGGTTTTCCAAAACCTAGCATGTCGTGCAATGTCTCAAATCATAACTTGTATATATAATAATCACTAGCGAATGTCCAATATCCTTTCAAGCCCCATGTCGGCTCCCCGTCTCTGAGCAAACAGTTAGAGGAAAATTACCCCCAAGCCCTGTGCCAGCTTCCCGTCCATGTGCTAATAGCCAGAGGAAAACCACTTCATGCCCTATGCAAACACCATAACCGTCACCCGAGACAGACCGGAATCTATCCTTTCGTCCTGTAGCGGAATAGGGACCACTAGGTAAGTAAAAAACCATTGAGCATATATATATTGAAAAACAACTTCATAGTATAAAGTCATCCATCATCTATACTATAAAGATGTGTTCTAAACATGTTCTAAATATCATATCATCATCCATTAAATATTCTATAAGAACATGGGTTATAGGAAAAATAGTAATAATTCAAACTAGCCTCAGTAAGCATGTTATCTCATAAAACGTAATCATCAAATCAAGCTTTTCATGTATGCATTTCTACTATCAAACCATGCATTTTTAGAAGGGGTCCACTCACAAATACTTAGCCGCCGAAGAGCCACGCAAACTAGCGGAAGCAAAACACCACAATAAATTGCCCATAAGCACATAAAGGGTACAATTAATCAAACTCTACTCAAACGATTGAATTTAGGAAAACGAACTTCAAAAACGAGCTCAGGACGTCGAAATTAGCCTAGGAGAGGTCCTGAACGGAAACCCAAAATGTCAACGTTGACCGGTCAAAGTTAAAGTCAACTCTAGTGTCTGGTCAATGATCAGATTAGGTCAAAGTCAACGGGTCTAGGCTTGGGTTGGATTTGAGTTGGGCTTAAGCTTTGGGCTTAGGTCCAAAGGGCTTTAGGCTTAAGGCCTGGACCAAAAGGGAAAAAGGGTTTAGGGTTCTAAGATAAATGAAAATAAAAAGGTTATTGGGTTTGGGCTTCAAGGGGTTAACGGGCTGGAGGCCCTAGGGTTTGGGCTTGAATGCAAAGGCCTGAAGCCTTACTCCTACACGACCCTAAGGCCTAAGCCTCTAAGGGTTTTGGGTTTGGTCCTAATAGGCCTTAGGCTGAAGGCCTAGCCCAGCATCCATTTGGGTTTTTATAAAACTAAAAAAATAAATATAAATAGATTAAAGGATTTTGGTTAGGTTTAAAAGGATAACGGGCCTAAGGCCCGAGTTCTAAAGAGCTTGGGTTAGTAAAGAGGGCCAGCGCTAAAGGCCCAAAGGCCTGGTGTGGTTGCTGCTTGACGGAGCTAATCGTAGAAGAACATCGAAATTTGAGGGTTTTTGTCAGAAAACTGAGACAACTTTAAACATCTATAACTTTGTCAAGACTCAACGAAATCAAGTGAGACCAAAATGAAGGTTGTAGTACTCGACGAGACGAAGAGAATGGTACCCCGCATGAGTTCTAACTCGCCGTGGTTTGGCCGGAAAATACCTCGAAAGCTGTCAAACCTCGCTGGAAAATCTGGAAAATGCCTTGTTGAGTTATTTTTGTGTTTAAATTGTACCACAACAACTCAAACACTATCTAAACAATAATAAGCACGATCTAAGGAGATTTAGGTGTGCTTTGCACTTACCTCAATAGAGATCTCGTGCACAGTGATTGTGCGCAATGCCAAGATGGATACTGAAGGTGAGGGAGAGAAAGATGAAGCTCAGATGATGAAGATGATGGTGAAGTCCTCGTGATGGCTATGTGTATGTATTTATGGTTGTGTGTGTGTGTGTTCTTGTCGGAGAGAAGAGCACCGAGAGGGAAAGAGAGCTGGGAGGGAGAGAGAGATGAGAGTTGTGAGGAGTGAGGGAAAGCGAGAAAACTCGGGGAGAGAAGAGTGAGGGCGAGAGAAGGCTCAAGGAGACTGCCATGTGGCAGCTAATGAGAGGGGACTGGGGACAAACAAATCAGGGGTGGGCCCTTTGGGCACACCAATTAAGATCCAAAAACCATTTTTAAAAAGAAAATATATTCAAACTTAGTGAAAATACAAAAATATTATTTTTGTTTCATAAATCCCTAGATGGGTTGTTACGGTGGGGCTATTATATCATCATATAATATCCACACAACACTTCAATTATTTTCCAATGTATAGTAAATTAATATTTGAGGGCAACGCGCGAGGTTAAATATATATATATATATATATAGTTTTCGTGTAATCGTCCACGAACTCCACGCCATCCAGTAGTTAGCCCAACCGGGTCTGCTGATCTTGATTCAAATCAGATAGTGTTGATCTTTCAGTACTTTCCGATGACGGGAGCTCTGAATTCGAATATTCTGGCCGGTAAACAGTTAAATATTACTTGGAAAAATGCGATGCTGTCGGGAAAAAAACTATCTGATGTATAGTTAGTCTTGTGTTTCTTGTATTAGCATTGGCTATTTTAAATTAAATTTCGCATTGAAATTTTGGTGTGGCTTTCTAGCTAGCTAGCTAGCCTACCAGTCGTTGGGTAGGTTTGAATATTGACTTTTAGGTTTAATGTGAATTTTTCAAGCTCATCAAATACGATATTCAGTGCCATTTACGACGTGTCTGTTTGTGACGTCTGCGTTGCTTGCAACCCATTCCAACTCGAAGGTTGGCCAGTTTCGAAGAAATTACTTGGTTTTGAATTTTCTCACATTTGCTTTCCATGTCACCAATCACCATCACCAACTCGCCATGTACAGGTAAGAGTCTGGTGAATTTGAAAATTATGTAGAGTTGACTCTGAGGATGCCCAGTGCCTGTACTTATGCTCATCATCAGATAATTAAGCGTTATACAAAAATCCCTCCATGAATGATGGGGTTTAGTACTACTGCACAGTCCGTCTCACGTTTCTTCATCTGTGCGTGGAAGACACTAGCATCATGGGATAAAATTAGAAAACGCAGCCAAAACCAAAATTGGGCCTTTATGCAGGAACTATGCCGCCGCTTTTCGCTGGCTGAGATCAGAGCAGCAACCGAATGCTTCAACGACAAATTTTATATTGGCAGGGGTGCCTTCAGCTCGGTCTATAAAGGGTACATCAACGGTGGGGCTACTGTTGTTGTAATCAAGCGATTTACAGCCAGCACACGAGACTTCAGGAACGAGGTGCAGCTGTCCTGCCAGCTGCGCCACCCCAACCTTGTCCCTATTGTCGGATTCTGCGAAGAAAAAGGGGAACTTATCCTTGTCTACGACTATATGCCCAACGGTGCCTTGTCTTCTAAGCTGTTCAATATAGCGGATCTTGATCCGCTGCCCTGGAAGCAGAGGTTGAACATATGTATAGGGGTAGCACGCGTGTTGCACTACCTCCATGCAGGGCTAAAGCACGCTCTCATCCACCGCGACGTGAAATGCGCCACCATTCTATTGGATGAAAGGTTAGATGCCAGGCTTTCGAACTTCACGATATTGAAGATGGGTCCTCCTAGTTTGTCAAATGCACTTATCCGAGTGACCTCTGATAGGATCGGCCCGATCGGGGGTACTTTTGGTTATATTGATCCACAGTACCTCACTTCGGGACAAGTTACAGAAAAATCTGATATCTACTCGTTTGGAATGGTGTTGTTGGAAATTTTGTGTGCCAAACCGATAGTGCTTCTATCATACAGAGAAAGACTGGACACCTTATGTGATGTAATGGACCCTTTTCTGAGAGGTAAAATATCTCCGGATTGTTTAGAAAAATTTATGGATGTCGTCCAGAGATGTGTGCGTCCTACAGGCGCAGAACGACCCACAATGGGCGAAGTGGAGGTGGAACTCGAGTGCGCATTGGAGCTGCAAGACTGCGCAGATGTCAAGAAGGATGGTTCTGTTGGTCTTGCAGGTGACTATAGCTACCAAGGGATGTCAATTTGTGAAATTCATGATATTTTTTCTTTTTTGTCTAGGCAGCCATTAATTTAGGATATGTCAGCCTTTATTTGAATAAAATCCAGTTTTTCAGTTTCTGATGATGGTAGCTTCAAATCCGACAATAATGTAGACATTTTTATGTACACCATGCCCCTTTAAATCCATTTGTTTTTACAACAAACTCATTTACATACTTTCGGAACAATATCGAAGATTCAGTACACTTTGTTTCTTTTTCTTCTAACTTGTGTTTCAAATTATCTGACCAAAAACAAAAAGATTTTTGTCATTGGGACCACTATATATGAAAGGTAAGATATAAACGGGGATTGACAATTCACACCCATCAACAAACCGAGAGCAAAATGTGGTTTAAATATCGAACCTAAGACATCTACTTACAAAGTGAAAAGGAGTACCAATAGATCGCAGTACTAAGTGGCAGGTTTTGGATTTCTCATGTATACCACCCACCGCGTATCCTTTTTATTAGAACACACAATGGGTATCTTCTTGTATTTGCGAATTTTTCAAGTTTTCATGTTTTTTTCCTTTTATCCTTGTTTTCATTTTTACTGTTTGGAATTAATTGTGTTAATAAGGAAAATAAACAAATGTAAAAAAGTATTAGAACATTTCCATTTTTCTTGTTTCTTAACTTGTAAGGTAATCTAAAACAAAAATAGAAGTTGGAACTATATAATTAACCGGGTTAAGCTAGGAAACAATACTCTACATGCATGGCGACACATCTTTTTTGTTTTTTCACGCAATTGATAGGGGGAATTCATGAATTCGAAACCCTAGGTCCAAGAATCAGGGTGCATGTTCAAGAAAAACACGAGTCCCCTATTCGTTAATGTCTATATGTTTTTTACTAAATTGTTTCATTTCTTAAAACTAATTAAGCCTTTAAAGATTATTCTATCAATCGTGCGCCCCTCTATGACTTTGTATAAGTTGTTTTTACGGTGGCGTTAGTGTTTGTTACTTGAATATATAGCTCGACAAACACAATTAATCTCCTAGTCTAGTCATCTACACACACTTGAGTTTATTTCCTTGATTCCCAAATTCTTAAATTTTGTGTTGCGTTTTAAAATTTGACTTTACACTCTACGTACTTATTATTTGATGAGTAATGATAAATAAATATCAGTTTTTTAGATTACATTTACAAATCATCAATAAAAAATAAATACGCAAACACAACGTATTTGAGTATCTACCACTCACTATAAGTAGTAAGCAAATAAAAAGAAGAATAAAAGAAAGATATTTAAAATATTATCCAAGATTAATTAAGTTCATTGCCGTGTCCTAAACCAATTTGACCAGACGCTAGCCCATATACTTGAATTAAGAATTTGTATATTGCATTGATTTGAATATTGGTACACAAGGTAAGATTTTATACAGAACCTACGTGCTATTCTAAGTAAAAAGATCCTAGAATAAAGTTAATTATAATTACATCCTATAATCACTCTATCCCAAGAGTTGACAATTTCAAAATCTACAATCACTCTCAATCAGATCGTGTCATTTCTTTTCCTTTAACACTCCTCCTTAAATTGGAGTGTGGATGTCAATGACGCCCAACTTGCCTAGATGTGTATGAAAAATAGGCGCACGTAGTGTCTGCTTTGATAGCGCCATTTACGACGTGTCTGTTTTGTGACGTCTGCGTTGCTGGCATCCCAATCCAAGTCGAAGTTTGGCCAGTTTCGAAGAAATTACTTGGTTCTGAATTTTCTCGCATTTCTTTCCATGTCCCCATTACGAATTCACCCCGTATGTAATGCGTGGGGTCTCTTCTGAGTTGGAAAAGTATGTTGAGTTGAGTTTGGGGTGCCGCTTCAATAGTGAGTCCTCTTTGCCCAGGAGTGCCAATGATCATCATCAATTGATTCTTAATGTCTAAATCTAAGATTTTGAGCTCCTGATCTTGGAATTGGACAACAGTTAGCACAATGATGGGTTTCAGTACTACTGCAGAGTCCGCCTCATGTTTCTTCTTCTCTGCATGGAAGAAACTAGCATCATGGGATAAAAGTAGAAAACGCAGACAAAACCAAGACTGGGCCTTTATGGGGGAATTATGCCGCCGATATTCGCTAGCTGAGATCATAGCAGCCACTGAATGCTTCAACGACAGGTTCCATATTGGTAGCAGTGCCGTGAGCTCAGTCTATAAAGGGTACATCAACGGCGGGGCAACTGTTGTTGCAATCAAGCGATTTACAGGCAGCAGACAAGACTTCAGGAATGAGGTGCTGCTGTCCTGCCAGCTGCGCCACCCCAACCTTCTCCCTGTTATTGGATTCTGTGAAGAAAAGGAGGAACTCATCCTTGTCTACGACTACATGGCCAAAGGTACCCTCTCTTCGAAGCTGTTCAAAAGAGTGGATCTTGATCCGCTGCCCTGGAGGCAGAGGCTGAACATATGTATCGGGATAGCACGCGCATTGCATTATCTCCATGCAGGGCTAAAACATGCTATTGTCCACCGCGACATGAAATGCTCCATCATACTATTGGATGAAAAGTTCGAAGCAAGGGTTTCAAACTTATTAACGTTCAAGATGGGTCCTCCTAGTTTGTCAAATAAACTCATACGAGTGACCTCTGATAGGATCGTGGGCACTTTCGAGTATATTGATCCCGAGTATATCCATTCGGAACAATTTACAGAAAAATCTGATGTCTACTCGTTTGGAATGGTGCTGCTGGAAGTGTTGACTGCCAAATGGGCAAAAGAGTTTCATACATACACAGGCAGGCCGGACACCTTATGCGATATAATGGACCCTTCTTTGAGGGGTAAAATAGCTCCTGATTGTTTGCAAAAATTTATGGATATCGTTTATAGATGTGTAAGTCCAACAGGAGCAGAGCGACCCTCAGTAGGCGAAGTGCAAATGGAACTCGAGTGCGCATTGGAGCTGCAAGACAGCGCAGATGCCAAGAAGGACGCTTCCCTTGGTCTTGCAGGTGACTATAGTTACCAAGGGATGTCAATTTGTGAAATTGATGATATTTTCTCATTTTTGTTTAGGCAGCTCACAACTTCGGATGTCAGCTCTTTGTTTGAATAACAGCATTGATTTTTCTGTTTTCCGACGGGGCAACAATAATGTAGACCTTTTTATGCATAAACACTTAATTCTCAGTGTTGAGCCATTTTGTAGTTGGGGTGAAGGGTTGTTAAAGAGGGTTAGGGTTAGATTTCGGTTTTTTTTTTTTTTTTTGAGCAAACGAGAGAGAGGGTGGGTTTAGCCTCATAATGAGCTAGCAATAATGTGATTCAAATATCGAACCTAAGACATCTACTTACAAAGTGAAGAGGAATACCAATAAATTGTAGTATTAAATGGCAGGTTTTGGATTTCTCATGTATACCACCCACCGTGTATCCTTTTTATTAGAACACACAATGGGTATCTTCTTGTATTTGCGAATTTTTCAAGTTTTCATGTTTGTTTCCTTTTATCCTTGTTTTCTTTTTTACTGTTTGGAATTAATTGTGTTAATCTCGCTATCAGATGGACTAATACGATGTACTTGATGACAATAACAAAAATAGAAATCCATGAGGAAAATAAACAAATGTAAAAAAGTATTAGAACATTTCCATTTTTCTTGTTTCTTAACTTGCAAGGTAATCTAAAACAAAAATAGAAGTTGGAACTATATAATTAACCAGGTTAAGCTAGGAAACAATACTCTACATGCATGGCGACACATCTTTTTTGTTTTTTCACGCAATTGATAGGGGGAATTCATGAATTCGAAACCCTAGGTCCAAGAATCAGGGTGCATGTTCAAGAAAAACACGAGTCCCCTATTCGTTAATGTCTATATGTTTTTTACTAAATTGTTTCATTTCTTAAAACTAATTAAGCCTTTAAAGATTATTTTATCAATCGTGCGCCCCTCTATTACTTTGTATAAGTTGTTTTTACGGTGGCGTTAGTGTTTGTTACTTGAATATATAGCTCGACAAAGACAATTAATCTCTTAGTTTAGTCATCTACACACACTTGAGTTTATTTCCTTGATTCCCAAATTCTTAAATTTTGTGTTGCGTTTTAAAATTTGATTTTACACTCTACGTACTTATTATCTGATAAGTAATGATAAATAGATACCAATTTTTTAGATTACATTTACAAATCATTAATAAAAAAATAAGTACACAAACACAACGTATTTGAGTATCTACCACTCACTATAAGTAGTTAGCAAATAAAAAGAAGAATAAAAGAAAGATATTTAAAATATTATCCAAGATTAATTAAGTTCATTGCGGTGTCCTAAACCAATTTGACCAGATGCTATGCGATAATTTAAGTCGTGCAAACAAATCTTTTGAATTTTCTTATGATTTGATGACTCGACACGTACCACCAATGACAATGCGACGTGACAATCCCTTTCATATCTTCAAGCCGATCATTCTGACTAGAGCACAATATTGCTAACCTTGACAAGTTTGGACATCAATACGAAATTCACGCCAAACCTAATCTCCTTTTTTTTTTTTTTTTGATTTAGTAAAGGATCAAAGAGCTCAAGCTAGCTTGCTTACTTATTGCTTGCTCTAAGATTTCGAAAGAAAAACTAAAACTCCATTAACCAGATATAATGGAACTGTTTTCTTTCTATTATTTCCTCTATGCATGCCTGTGTGTGTCCCTATTTTATCAACCAACACAGGCTCAGCAGGAATACCTCAACAACACACACTTCAACTGCTCCAGTAACCCTGCCATATCAAAAGGGTACCTCTGTGATGGCAGTGTCAAGTCCTGCCAGTCCTTCGTCACGTTCAGATCGCGGCCACCCCATGACACCGCCATCAGCATCGCCCCTCTCCTCGCCTCCGAAGCCTCAGAGATTGCCTCAGTTAACAAAGTTTCAGCAAGTGACAAGATTCCAAGCAACAGGTTGGTTGTAGTTCCAGTTTCTTGTTCATGTTCGGGCAATATCTTCCAGCACTTCTCTCCTTACACCGTGACAGAAGGCGATACGTATTATTGGACGGCCCTCGGCACTTTCCAAGGCCTGACTACATGTCAGTCTCTGATAGGTCAGAATTACTACGACCCTGAAGAGATTCCGGTGGGAGCAGTGTTAACAGTTCCGGTGAGATGCGCTTGTCCAAGCGAAAATCAAACTGCAGAAGGGATTACATCCCTGCTGACATATATAGTAGCCATGAACGATACAGTTACAACAATCGGAGAGATGTTTGGGGTCAACAATCAAAGTATACTGGAGGCAAATTTGTTGTCACGGGACAGCATTATCGACCCTAATACAACTGTTCTTGTTCCCCTCAAAAGCAAGAAATGCCCTACTTCTGATGGTAATTTCGTTGCAGATGGGAGTATCCTAGAAAATGTCGATTGCATTCGCAACGGCAAAAAGTTTCCGGCAAAGTTGGTCACGCTGCTAGGTATATATATCTATCCTCTATATCTTACACAGTCTAGCAGGCCGACGTACAAAAATGCATCGATGTAATTAGTAGTAAAATTATTCATTACATGTCGTATTTTATTTTGTCACGTTTCAAATGTCGGACTTTACATTCTTCTAACAACTATGTCTGTGTGTAGTACTCGAATTTTCAACTTGACGTGAGCTAATTGGTTTTTTCTTTGTTGTCTAATTTACTTGACAGGTATTGGGATTGGGTTTGCATTCATATGCGTGTTCCTTTTATGCTACTATTTATATCAATGCCTGAAGAGAAGGAGAACCAAAACCCGTAAGGAGAAATTTTTCAAGCAAAATGGGGGCTTCCTGTTGCGAGAAAAATTCTCATCTTATGGAATTAGTAGCAATGCAAAACTATTTACTGCAGAGGAGTTGGAGAGAGCAACAGATAACTACAACAAGAGCCGGTTTCTAGGGGAAGGAGGTTATGGCACAGTTTATAAAGGGATGTTACCTGACGGTACCATAGTAGCGGTTAAAAGGTCGAGGGCGATAGACGAAAATCAGATTGAGCAATTCATCAATGAAGTTGTCATTCTAACTCAAATCAATCATCGAAACATCGTGAAATTGCTTGGTTGTTGCTTGGAGACGGAGGTTCCATTGCTAGTATATGAGTATATTTCTAATGGAACTCTCACCCATCATATCCGTCAGAAGAAAGACTCCACCGAATCATCACTTTCGTGGGATTACCGTTTAAGGATCGCTTGTGAAGTTGCCGGAGCAATAGCTTATATGCACTCAGCAGCTTCAATCCCCATCTATCATAGAGACATCAAGTCGTCTAACATACTTCTAGACCATAACTACAGTGCTAAAGTATCCGACTTTGGGACTTCCAAATCAGTTCCCCTTGACAAAACTCACTTGACGACACAAGTACAGGGGACTTTCGGGTACATGGATCCCGAGTACTTCCAATCTTGTAAGTTCACAGACAGAAGTGATACCTATAGCTTCGGAGTTACGCTCGTGGAGATACTAACTGGACACACCCCATATTCTTTTGCAAAAGATGAAGGAGAAAACCTGGTTGCATCATTCATTTCATTGACGAGGGAAGATGAACTCGTTCAGATTTTGGATCCTCAAGTGGCTAGAGATGCAGATGTTGAGCAAATTCGCACGATTGCAGAGCTTGCAAAGCGGTGTTTGAGGCTGAATGGGGCAAAGAGGCCTAGTATGAAAGAGGTATCAACAGAGTTGGAAGGATTGAGGAACGCTCAAAGATGCCATGAAACGTTCCAAGAAGATCCTATAGAGCAAAGCATTGATTTCCCCATGGAAATTGAATCTGCATCGCTTTGAATTCGAAACACAACTATTTTAATTTGCTTCCCTAGTTTTTGGTAGTTCCATTCAGTACGATGTAACCGGGATTTGTAAGTTAATATTTTGTTGAAATTTAGCAAAGTCGTATCAAATTTTTTAAATTTCTGAAGCTGCGGTCTAGTAGTATTATACTTCTATTAGTGGAATTACAGAGACTAAAACTCGTTAACAAATTGCCTGACTAACAAACTGTGTACACCACCTTTGTACGGCTTCCCGTAAACAAACAGATTTCCACCTGCCAAGCTACCTACGATCATCAGATATAGTCTCTTCAGAAGAACCATCGCTGGCTATAATAATTACGTCTTCTTGTTTACCGTCACGACGAGAATGATCCCTTCTCTGTTTCCCCGTCCCAAGTCCTACCGATGAGTAGTTGAAAAGAGGAGCATTTACTCTTAAACCACCACATGTAACCTTCATTTCATTCCTTGGTGCCAAATGTGATTCCCGACGATCAAAACCAGCAAGGGTGACATTCAACCTGTCTGAATGAGCAATTGATGAAACAGTTGAAGGCACATTTGGGGGTGGAGAAGCAACAGCTTCTCTGAGCCAGTGGGGCAAATTTCCCTGTGCTCCAGTGCAAGTTGTGGGGACATCAGTCGATAATAACTCACCCCTCCGAATTCTTCTACTTCTATTTAGAATACTAAATTCATCATCTTCATGTGTGTCCCTTCCCATTTCAAAACGTGATGTCCTCTTTGTGTAACCAAGAGGCCTCCGGTGGTTTTCATTGCCATTGTTGCAAGTATAAGCCGACTTGAATAGTGGCCTCCTCGAGACATCACCTCCTCTACAAGCATCAACATCGCCAAGTGAAACTTGGGTCATGTCTGCTGTATTTTCTTTCCATATTCCTCTTTTTGGACCCGAGAAATAGTTGCATCCCAATTGGGGAACACAAATGCCACTAAAAAGTTTTGATTGTTCCTCTTCCCACTGCTCAGCTAAGTCCCTTTCCACCCTCCGTGGTGAGAAGTGCAATCTTGGATCCCTTAACATAGCATTCCAATTGTCCCGTCCATATCTTCTCACGCCCATCCATAGAAAATCCAACTCTTCTTCAGACCACATGGTATTATATGGCATATATTTGTCATGAAAACCACCCTTTTCATTCAAAGCTTTTACTTGGCTTACTACACTGTCATACATAAGCTTGTGCCTCAAAACTGATGATAAACGGCTTGAAGAAGATTGGAGCGCTGCATCTCGGATGAATTCTCTTGTTCCAATGATGGAGTTCAAGAAGGGAGATGTATTGAAGCA